CAGAAGCAGATTCGGTTAAACTGGCCGCATGATGGTTGGAATTTTGGGACATGAGCGGACAATCTTTTATCATGTGGCCAGTCTTGCCACACCGAAAGCAAGCACCAATTGATCGTTAGCAGACGCCCTTGTGTTTTCTTCCACATTTAGAGCAAATAGGTGGTTCCACTACTTTGACTTGAACTACTCGAAGATCCTAAATTTTGCTTCTCTCTCATTGAGAATGACCAGCCTTTCTTGAAATTGAATTCAAATCGTTTACCTCTCCAATCATTTGTCAGAGCTTTAGCTTGTTTCATAGTTGCTAAATTAGCCTCAGTCATAAGAGTTATATCCAATACATCCACATACTTGTTTAGTTTTAACACACCAACCCAATCAAACACATCTAGATTAAGGTCGCCTTTAAATTTTCTGGCATTTTTGTAGTTTGTGTCCACTATATACGAAGCAAATTGGGTGAATTCTGTAAATTTAGCTTCATACTTTGCTACTGACATATTGCCTTGTTTCAACTGTTCAAATTCGGAGACTTTACGATCTATGAAGTATTGAGGGAAATATTTTTTGTAAAAAATCTCTTTGAATTGATTCCATGTCATAGCCCCATTGTTATCCTGTATTAGCATCCACTAATGTCGGACTTCTTCTTTCAGCGTATAAGTGGCCAACAGAACTTTCTGAGTTTTAGAACACGGAAACACTTCAAATAACTTTTTCTGTCTCAAGCATCCAAGTTTCGACTTTCAATGGCTCAACAAAATAGTCTGTGGCTTCATCTTGTTGAACTTTTGAGTCAAGCCGATAATGTCATTGTTTACCAGTTCCATTTGTACCAGAGAATGTGGAAGAGGTAATGATTGTTGCCTTTGTTATTGTCTCAAGGACTTATTTAAAGCTTCTAGCATTCTTTCCATACGGTCCATTCGGGCATCAAAAGATTCAATTACATCATCACTTCTTGTTCTCTGTATTTGCTATAGGTAAATAGAGCAATAATAAACATAGGCAAATACTCATTTTACAATTTTCACAGTGTTCAGTTCATTTCATTTCATATTGTTTCAAATATATCACATAATTTCACACACTCATACATGCTAATGTAATGCCCCTAATTCTTTTCTAGGACATGCTGTAGCTCATATGGACTCGTGTACGCAGTATAACTTGTGCTTTGATATCACTTTGTCATGACCTAAACATGACTCTACAAGTTTAGTATTATAACCGGCCAGTAATCCTAAGATTACCGAAGGCCTCTGAAACAAATTCATAATATAATGGGCTAGCAGAAGCAAATAATAAATATACAATGTCCATAGAGCTATGCAAATTTATATAAGGTAGAAAATTTCAAATTTATATTTACATATAATACGACGTCAACCTTACATACAGAAGAAACATAAACTTGTCCAAACAAAATAAAAGAAAATAAAAATTAAAACTTGTTCATTAACTTGGTCACAACTTTGCCCGCAAAAACTTGACCACAAAAAATCTTTTGGAACCTCCTCGGGAGGCGCATTGGTTGGCTAACACAAACAGATCTAGACTGGAAGTCTCAAGCCTGGACACGCACTTGATCACCAGCATGCATAATATAAATAATGAGCCGGAGCCCAGTGAATAACAACAGAGTAAATGTTTTATGAATGATGTCCATAATAGATTCAGAAATCAGAATTCAGATAAGAAACAGATTCATATACTTATTCAGGTTTGCAAACAGTCACACATGGTATATCCATTAGCGCTAACAGATCAGATTGGTTATAAAGACCCATATACAGAACAGATGGTCATTAAGACCCATATTCACATGAGGTGGTCATAAAAACCAACTTGCAAATCACATAGTTGATTATGCCTAATCAGTTCCAAGAATGAAACCCACTTGAAACCCTGGTACCAAGTAACATATAACATATCACACAATGCTAAGGATGCCACGATTACATTTCAAAAAGCTGGACAATCATTCATGGTTCACAAATAGCATTTCAAAAAATAGATCATATCATATTATTTAGAAAATACTTATAGTTAACATATCCTTAAAAAATTATTACTCACTGATAGCTCCAGAAGCAGAACAGGCAACATAGACAGATCGGTCGAATAATGACACGTGACCTACACACAAACACGTGACAAATACTTATTGAAACACACACTCCGAATACACTTAACTTATTAAATTCTTTCTTAGTGTGTTTCAAATTCATATCCTCATTAATATGGCTTAAACCATGGCTTAAGAATGCCTAAGATGAAATGGGGATGCAATTATGCACTTGAAACACTTTGCAAAATTTCTGAAAACATGGACGTGCGCTTGAGTGGTCTGCAAAGTCTACAAAAGTACCGGATGCTCTCATTTCATGCTCGAGCTAACTTTTGATCATTCAAGCCATGTACCTCGCAAAGGTGAGTTTGCTTGAGCGAAGCTTTGGTCGCTCTAGCCAACTGCCTCGACTGTAAAAGTACTGGGAGCATGCAAAGTACGCTCGAGCGAAGGAACCATCACTCGAGCGATCAAGCAGAATTATGAAATTTCAAGATTGCTGGTCCAAGTTCAAAACTCAAATTAAACACATCAAAGCTCATTCTTTTGGGCCAAGATGAAAGAAAATAGGTAAAGACTCATAACACATCATGAATTGAAGATCATTTCGCAAATCAAGGCCCAAAAGCATGTCAATTCTTCCAAAATGAAACTTGAAACTTGATGTACATTATATGCATGTAATGCTATGAATTCAAAACTTCCATAACATGTACAAATGAAGTGTTTAAGTATAAAACCATAATGTGCTCTCATGATATAACAAAAATAAGCTCTTGCATGTAAGAATTTGTTGGAATTAAAACTCAAAATCCATGAATTATGCATGCATGCATAAAGTGTTCTTCCTTTCTTCTTCCTTAGCTCAATTCTCTTGTTTAATCACTTAAACTTCTTAAATCTATATGGTCAATAGTTGAAACATAAAAGTTAGGAGTTGATTACTCACCTAAAGTTTTGAATTAGCAAGAGTCCTATGTTGTTCTTCCCAATTCCAAGTTTGTAGCTTAGATTCAAACCAAATCTTCAATCTTTAACTTAAAATCCTAGTTGTCTTGCCCCTCTCTCTCTCTCTCTCTCTCTCATTCAAGCTCTCTCTCACTCTATGATGATAGGAAAAATAATTTGCTAACCTTATAACACATATTTATAGGTTGGATTAACTTAAGCTAATTAAATGTGATTAGAGTTAATTTAATCTAACTTAATAACTAATTCATTCTAATTATTTGGATCTGAATCAAAATCTAATTAAACATACCATGAGGTTCTAAAAATTCTAAATAATGTGTTGACTTAGTCAATTTCGTATTCGGATGCCAACAAAGCCTTCAATTAACAGAATAGAGCATAATAGAGCATAATTTAGAACAGATATTCCTAATGCTAATAGATAGGAATTCAAATAACATGCAAATCACACAATGAACATATAATTTCATTCTTAAAACTTAATTAGCATTCTTAATCATGGATTATGAGCTAATTACGGATCGGGCTTGTTACCGTTATGAGAGAGAGAGAGAGAGAGAGAGAGAGAGAGAGACAGAATAAAGATATAGAGAAAAAGAGAAGAGTACACTCCAGGAAATGACACTTTTGGCGACTAGAATATTGGTCGCCAAAAGCCCCGTGTTTGGTCGCCGAAACTCATTAGCGACTAAATTTTTTTGTCACCAAGGTCGTCGCTTATACGTTGTCGGCGACAGTATTGGCGACTAAACTATTTTTGGTCGCCGAAAGTGAACGTTTGGCTACTAAACTTTAATTAGTCGGAAAAGGTTATCTTTTGACAACTAAAATATTACTCGCCGAAAGTAAACGTTTGGCTACTACACTTTGGTTATTGGCAAAGGTTATCTTTTGGTGACTAAAATATTAGTCACATAAAACTGAATTCAACTATTAGAGACTAAAATTTTAGTCGCCAATAGAATTTTTGTCACAGATAATAATACATTTTCTGACTACACATTTTAGTCGGTAATATAATACATACATTTAGCGACCAAATAGTTTAGTCATTGTTACTTGTACCGACTACACATTTTAGTCGCCAAAAGCCTCATAATTTTCATTTCATTATTTTTTATGACCAAACATTTTAATCGTCGAAGGATGACGTGTTTTTCGTGACTGAAATGTTTAGTCAGCATTAGTTTCTTCCCTCATTCTAATTTGTTTTAGCTACTAACTGTTTGGTCGCCAAAAGCCATTTGTTTGTTTTTGGCTACCAACTTTGGTTAGTCGGCAAAGGTTATCTTTTGGTGACTAAAATATTAGTTGCCAAAAGCTCTTACATAAAACTGAATTCAACTATTAGAGACTAACATTTTAGTCACCAATAGAATTTTTGTCACAGATAATAATACATTTTGTGACTACACATTTTAGTCAGTAATATAATACATACATTAACGACCAAATAGTTTAGTCGTTACTTTTACCGACTACACATTTTAGTCACCAAAAGCCTCATAATTTTAATTTCATTATTTTTCACGACCAAACATTTTAGTCGTTGAAGGATGCCGTGTTTTTCGTTACTAAAATATTTAGTCGGTAATAGTTTCTTCCCTCATTTTGATTTATTTTGGCTACTAACTATTTGGTCGTCAAAAGCCATTTGCTTATTTTTGGTTACCAACATATTTAGTCGCTAAATACTATATAATTTTCTTTTTATTTAATTTCTCAACCACCTGTATCCATTATTAGTGGAAATTGTACCCTGTATAATAATATAATCCATCAATACTTATTATATTATTAACCATTTGACAACGTGCATACATTTGACTTCCAACCATTCAAAAAATTCATATTGAACATCAAATTGTAAATGTAATACAAATTCTATACAAACCAAGTATAATCCAACCTCAAAATTTTAGTTCCATCAATAACAGAGCATTAACCAAATTTAATATCTAAAAAGAAATCTGTACCACACCATAAAGATAATCTGTACCGCCCAAAAAACTAATTTCTACTAATTTCTAATTTGTACCATGCCAAATTTTAGCTACATTGGTTCATCCCAATACTGGACATTTCCTTCATTTGTTGAATAGATCTTTCTTTTCTTTGGAACCTGTTCGTTGACACAATAATGAAGCATGATTAGAGAACTACATAGTACTAAAACAGAGTTCATGTGTTCAAATATGATAGCACACAATTTTTACCTTGATATCTGGGTGAGTTAATATAAACTTCCCAATAGATGGATCGAGCGTGAAGCCATTGACGCCATTTCCAATGCTAAGGACTAGCTACAACACCATTAAACACCATTGCAAAATCGTGTTGTTACAATTGAAAACACAAAAAACAATTCAATGCTAAAAGCTTGAGAGCCATTAATTAGATGAACAAAGAAAACCTAATAGGATGCTTATTTCATAGACCGATTGCGAGAAAATTACTAGAATAATCAACAGGATGGAGCTTTTCTATCAAAAATAAAAAATAGAAACCCAAGTTTTTCCACAAACAAAAATTCATGACAAAGTATCTAAAACACAGAGAAGGTAATTATAATTACCATGCAAGAGCTTCCATACATGCAATAACCTGCAGCCAACAAATTCTTTCCAGATTGCAATACATCGTCAAGAGTTAGATTCTCCTTATCTTTCACCATATAAATCCCAAAGATCTATATCCAATAAAAGAGATTTTAACAGTTTCCAGATAGTATCAATTCAACCAAAATGTGTTTAGTAAAAAAAAAAAAAACAAAAATTTAGTGGAAATGGTACTTGGGATACAGTGTATCAGTAGAAACCTTCCTCGCTTTGATGGCTCCACAAAAATTGCTTATTCGTTCTCTTCAGATGCAAGAATGCACTATAAAGGAAGGGGTTAAAGGGGGATAAAACCAATGTTATGAGATCAAAACAATAATCCAATTGAAAAAACATTTAATGGGTAAGTTTTCTTAGGGAAAAGTAGTATGTATGTCAAATTGAATTTGTAATTTTCAAGTAAAGAAAAGGAGTACAAGTGTATTATTACCAATGAAAAACATTCAATTTTTGATGATTATGATGATAAGTTTCATTGTCTTGAATAGATTTAGTAAGCCCTAACTCACGCCTTCTATTATCAGCTAGCATAATTCATTCTTTTTTCTATTCTTGAAAAAAAAAAAAAAAAAAAAAAAAAAAAAAAAAATTAAAACTGATATGATTTTTTTTTTTTTTTTTTACGAAAACAATTTCTAATTGTTGTCTTTGGAAAAGCTTTTAAAAAACACTCCAGTAATGGGAAACTCTTTCATATTGTTTTTAAACAATTTCAAATTTTGTTTTCACACAAAAAAGAAACAAAAACAAAAAGATATTAATGTTTCTCAAGTTGTATTGTTTTTATTCCCAAAAACATGAAGAAAAAAAAATGAAATTATTTTGAAAACAAGTCAATGCAATCAACTGGTTGAACTTTTTTTCCTCAATTGGTTTGTGTGGAATTCTATTGGCGTTTGTGAATAATATAGATTCTCATCAGCCCCAACTAATTGGGGCTTTTCTTTGAGCACCAACAAGGCAATAAGAGTAGTCCAATCTTAAACATGATATATAAAGAAGAAAGCAAATGAAATTAAAAACTTACAGTGCGTCCACTGCTTATCAAAACCTTGACAAAAACATCATTTGACAGTATATCCAATTTCTTCCATTCTTTACCCTGAAAAATGAAACAAATGTGATCTATCATAGTCATAGATAGACAACATTGCAATGAAAACACATAAATGCAAGAAAATGTAAAATTAGCATATTATTGAACAAGTTTTGAAAAAAGAAAAATAAAAAACCCACCTGAGTATTTGTCTCTCCTGCAAGTCCAATGAGTTTTGCAAGACCTGCCTGCAAAATGGGTGATAATTAGAAGGCCAAAAAACCCACCTTTAACATTAATTGGTTTTAGGTGAGGTGCTGGAACTCAATCCAACAAGTGTTATCAAAGCAACGCTGTCATGGGTTTAAGTTGCAGAGCATCATTGTGAGGGAGCAATTGTTGGGTACACAATGTTGCACCTACAATCGCTTGTGTCATGGAGTTGCCACAAGACAAATCACAATGGAGTAAGAGCAAATAGTGGCGATGGTGGTGAGCGACGGTGAGTGATGGTGGCGATGTGACAGTGTACCAACGAAGAGCGATGGGCAGTTTGACCGGAGTAAGAGCAAATAGTGGCGATGGCAGAGGAGGAGGAGGTGCTCTAGTTGTCGGCGAACGCGAGGAGGATCGGCGGTGAGAGAGGGAGGGGAGAGGAGCGGCGGAGAGGGAGAGGTGAGAGACCTGAAAATAAAGAGAGACAGGCGCTAGTTTTTTGTCTAGGGTTTGGTTTTCATATCAATCAGTATATATATTGGCCTCGTTTGGGAAGTGGCTATTTTAGTTTTTGTGTTTGGGAAGATGAGATGATTTTTTAGTTGAGTTATTGTATTGAAAAGTGTGTTGAAATGATATTTAAATTTAAAATGACAGATTTATCCTTAACTTTTTATTTTTTAAAATTGATATAAAGGGGCAAAATGGTAATTTGCCCTTGCTGTCACACTGTCGGCTGTGACAGTGTAGGCACACAGCCTACACTGTCCGGGCAGCAGACTATGTATATATATATATTTTTTTTTTTTGAAAAAGTTGGCAACAGTGCTACTTTTGGGCTATTTTCTGAAAATAGGCTACAATAGCCTCTCAAGAGGCTTCCCAAACAGCGCCATTATTTTACACAATTCGCAACTAAACATGTTGGTGGTCAATTATTTTTTTAAATTCCTCCAAAATCTCAAATGTCTCTCTTTAAATATTTTAATTTTTTAGTGATTAAATTTTTAGTCGCCAAAGATAAAGTAAATTTTGGTGTTTTATTCGGCGACAAAATAATTTTAGTAACCAAAAGTAACTATACAGCGACTAAAATATGAGTTGGTCACTAAAAATAAGTTTTTGGCTACGAAACTTTTGGTCGCCAAAGATAAAAAGTAAATTTTTATTTTTCATTTGGCGACTAAATAATTTTAGCAGTCAAATGTAACTATACAACGACTAAAATATTAGTTGGTCCCTGAAAATAAGCTTTTTGGCTACCAAACTCCTGGTCGCCAAAGATAAAAAGTAAATTTTTGTTTTTCATTCGACGACTAAATAATTTTAGTAGTCAAAAGTAACTATACAATGACTAAAATATTAGTTGGTCACTTAAAATAAATTTTTCGCTACCAAACTTTTGGTCGCCAAAGATAGAAAGTAAATTTTTGTTTTTCATTTGGCGACTAAATAATTTTAGTTTCCAAAAGTGACTATACTGCGACTAAATTTTTTTTGTCGCCAATTGTGGCATTTTTTGTGACTACAATTTTTTTAGTCGTCAATAATCAATATACACTAAAAAAAATTAATAGCTAACTCTTGTATTTTTGCCGACTAATATAATTTTTGGTCATCAATTTTACAACTTTTGACGACTAAATTTTTTTTAATCGCTAAATTTAATCGTCAAAAGTATAATTCCTGCCGTGTGTAAATGAGGGAAAAGGGTTGTTGCCTCAGAATATGTAAAAAAGGTTTAAAAAATACTAGGCTGAGGTGCAGCCATGTCTCCAGCTCCAGGCATTAGCTGCTCGTACAACGGCTTTGGCCGCCCGTGCGGTGCCTGGCCAGCCCCTACTACACATTGGAGCGGCCCAATTTCGTCACTCGTGTGGCCAACTTCTTGGCAGGTTTGATTTCAAACGTGTTCCTACACCTCCGTTCTTCGTCCTTATGCCCAAAACAAAATTTATCAAAAGCATTACGCACTAAACAAGTACGAAATCAATTCAACCAGCCAGACTACAATAAAACCCATCAATTCATAAGCCCAAAAGTGTGTTGGGCCAGACTACAATAAAACCCATCAATTCATAAGCCCAAAAGTGTGTTGGGACATCTGTACAAGTGATTTTAAATCGGGTTTTAGACTCGGGACACTAAAATGATTTTTCTAAGGGCTTAATCCGTAGAGAGAGATGTCATGGATTTAACTCTCCCTAGGGGGAGTTGAATTGAGGGGCCAAGTACTTATAAGTACTTTGTGACGGGTGGAACACCTAATTTTCATAAATGTTAATTTAACAACTAACTACTGACTTTCGCTGATAAAAAAAATTAAAATAAAACAAAAATGGAAAGCTCTGACAAAACATGCCTTCAATGTATCAGTACAAGGTTCCCTTACCTGATTTTTGTTTATTGAGGAAATAATGATGTGTTTGTTTTGGGAAAAAGTATTTTTTAAAAAATATTTCTTGTATTTTTTGATGTTTGGTATGAAATAAGAATTAATAAGAAAATATTTTTCAGTATAAACAAAAAACAAACGTTTGAGAGAACTGTTACAGGGTGTACTCTTACACTCAGTTTGGATCATGAGGTGAGGTGAGAAAAGAATTGATTGTGGTTTTTCACCTAGGTGAAAAAAAGAAAAAGAAAACGATTATGATTTCTCACCATTGTATTTGGATGAATAAAGGAGAAAATAATGTGATTTCTCACCTATCTTGTTTGGATAAAGTAAATAAGAGAAAATAAAAGGAAGTGTCTTATTTTATTTTACCAAAATAACATTCCATATTTATAATTTATGTTTTTTTAATAAGGATAATTTAGGTATTTTAGAAAACTTTCATTACACCCAATTCTTTTCTCACCTAATCTCATCATTTTTGGTGAGAACAACACATAGATTTGGTGAGAGTCATTTCCTCACAAATTCTTATCTAATTAACCATCCAAATAAGTTAATAGGTTTTCTATTCATATAGGCCTCGTTTGGGAAGTGGTTATTTTAATAGGCTATTTGGCTTTTTGGCTATTTTAGTAGGCTATTTTAGTTTTGTGTTTGGAAAGATGGGATGAATTTTTAGTTGAGTTGTTGTATTGGAAAGTGTGTTGAAATGATGTTTAAATTTAAAATGACAAATTTATCCCTAAAAATATATTTTTTTAAATTGATATCAAGGGGTAAAATGGTAATTTATTTATTGATGGAACAAGTGTTGTAGTTGACAGTGTAGGCTGTGCCTACACTGCCAGCTGTGCAGAATATTTTTTTTTTTTTTTTTTTAAAAAAAGGTTCCAACAGTGTTGCTTTTGGGCTAATTTCTCAAAATAGGCTATAATAGCCTCATTTTGGGCTTCCCAAACAGCGCATAATTTCTTTTCTTTTCTCACCAAACCTTTCCATCCAAATAGAATGTTAAAAAATATACAATTTACCACATAATACTTTAAAAAGGTCTTCACACACTTTATGATTGGTGAAAAATGTGAGCCATTCATGCCAAAAAGTATATTGATCTCCTAGGCTTCACCATTCTCCAATCGTAACTTTCTTGGAATGTGACTCTTTTTACAGATATACATAACAGATTTTGCCATATTATTGTATAATGAAATATGTCTCTCCGTATTATTATAGAATGAAAGAAGTCTCTCCTCTTGGAATACAACAAACTGCTAGTTTGCAGCAGACCAGTTTATTTCAGACCAGGTCCACTTCAAGGCAGGTTAGTTCACATCTACAAACTTTTAGTCAGATTTCTGTACCAATCATATCAACTTTTTGAAGCAATTACAATCACTAGTTAGAAGGCAAATTAAAGGCAACATTCCACAGGGACTGCCCTGTTTTATTGTTGTTATACAATGGCAATGTGTTCTCCGCCTCCTGAGTCTGCAATGTTTCACTCCTAGTAGAGCATCCATATGGATTACTGCCAATATTGCTGTAAAACATCCCTCTCAAGTCGTCACTGCCGCCTATCCCTGGCTCTTTCTTCGCCTTATTCTGGTTGTCAGTGTCATCGTCAGCAATGACATTCGAGTTCTTCTCCACCAGTTCTCTAAACATGGAAGACCTGAGGAGGAGTCCGAGTGCAGTTGGGGAAGCCGACGTGTTGCAAGGACTAATGGGCATCTTTGTCTCCAAAAGTTCCTGTTTTCGGGGCATGTTGTTGCCTGTGTCTCCCAATTTGTAAGGGCTGGAGCGGAAGGTGAACTCGGGTGGTTCCTGACTCGACATGAAATTAGTCGAGGAGTTGGCAAGCGGAGGCTCCAACTTTTGTACTGGTTCCTGAAGGGCAACTGAGTTGCCTCCAGGCCTTAGCCACCTAATGTATGTGCTTAAGTCGAAGTTGGTCACTGCGTTTATCCCTCTGTATTCGATTGCTGCAATGTCATAAGCATGTGCAGCCTCCTCTTGGGTACCTGAATATGTAAAACAGGTCTTCCATAAGCTTCTCTGATATACTAATTTAGACCATCTTATTAACTACATGAAATGGAGAGAGGTTGAAACTCACTGTAAGTGCCAAGGTAGAGATATTTGTTTCCAAACACCCTCCCAATCCTAGCTTCCCATCTACCATTGTGATGGTGCCTGAATTTCATCAAAAAATGCAGCCTTAGTATTCAACCTTTGATGGTTTAGTCAAGGGGAGAAATGATCAGACAGTGAAGGCAGGCGATGATAAAACTTTCACTTACCTCGCGACTCCTCTGTACTTGGATACACCTCTTGAGAAACCACTGCTTCTTCTATATTAAGCAGAAAATAAAATAAAATAAAATGAGTTTAGGTTAAATGAAATCAAGCTTGTACTATGGAGTAAATTAGGTAGTAATTAATTCTAATCTTTAAGTACCTTCTCAACGACGCCAAGTACTCCTCTTTTGTTAAATTCTGCATTATCTCAATCTCTTTCTCATACTCAGGCACCTGATGAAAAAGAAATTGTGGGTTTTTCATAATAAGAATATATTACATTGTGTTTGCCATCGGCCTGTCAAAAATATATGGAAGTATTGGATTCATGTATGGCATACATACCGGGAAATTTGTAAAAGTTGTAGGACCCCAATATTTGATTGCAGCTAAATCATATGCTCTTGCTGCAGATTCTTCTTCATCAAAAGCCCCTGGTAGGTTAGCGATACAAAAAATGGTTAATTTTCATGATTTCATCATCTAAGTTCAGTTTCTTTAAAATAAAAAAAGTTCAAAATTAGCAGTATAGGCACTCACCAAGATAAACTGTTCCATGCCAACCATTGCAACCATGAAACGTAATCCAATGACAAAACAATCAAAAAGGCATGAGAAATCAAGAACAGAATATAAAATGTAACATGCAATGTGTATTATCTGTTATGTTTACCTTGTTTCCCCTTCTTCCTCTGTGTTGCATTCCAAGATCCTTTATCCCATAGATGAGCTTCAAATCTCCCGGTCCATCGATGCCTGTAAATTTATTTATTTATTTTTTTTAAAAAATATACAATTAGCTTATTTGAATTTATAAGGAAAACTAAAATTGGCCATACCGGCTAACTCCGCGAAATCTTGAACTTCTCTTGACAGTAGTGGTAGTAGTAGTAGTACTGGACGGATCAACCTGCAGCGTTTCTGTCTGCGGTTGTTCTCCTTGATCAGCACAACCATCTGCGACTGGAGCGGGCTCTCTTCTCCGTCTCTTGCCACCCTTGGCCATGGGACTATTATCCCCACCTTCTGCATTACGCACGCCACGACGCCTCACTGGGTTCACTTCAGATTTCACGGCGGTTATCATCTCCATCTCTCTCTCTCCCTCTCTCTCTCTCAGTTTCTGTTTTTTTCTTTCTTGAACTCAGTAGCAAACAGCAAGAGACAATGTTTTTGATATCTTCTTGTTGAGAAACTCCGAGCCAAGCATATATAAACGTAGGATTCTTGTATTGTTGCCTATTTTGTTTTCGTTGTCGCGACAGCTTTGAGAGAACAATGACACAAAAAAAGAACGGTTATTTTGAAGTGCGTGTGCATTTTGTACATAATCAGTTGAGAGAAAGCTAACAGTACAAAATCTGTGATTTTATTTAGAAAGTCACAAGAGCTCCAGCAAGGAGATCTCTCCTTCAGAATTAATGGACTCTTAGCAATTTAATCGATAGTATCAAGGTTTTTATGTTTTTGACAAAGTTCTTTATTAAAAAAATAGCTTCAACCCATGGTAGACTCGAACCCTTTTTGACTATGTCCAAGATTATATTATAACTAGTGTGTGAATTGGCTGTTTCTATAAATTGAATTTGGAGATACCAAGATCATAATAGAGCAATCCAAAGCATAACAAATAGGTGTTTTAGGGATTAAATTTTTTTTTTCAAAGTGAAAATTTTATTGTAAAAAAATTTGGAGGCCAATTTCTATTGTCGCAATGATAGGTGCTAAATTTCTTTTCAAATCGTTTTGAAAAGTTTAAAAAAAAAAAAAAAAACTTTTAGCTACAATTTTAAAAATATCGCTAACAAAAGCAAGGACAAAATAATTTAGTCCAAAAAATATTTATTTTTTGACACAAAAAATTTGGCTCCGAAAATTTGGCTCCAAATGACAGTTATAATAATTCATCATTAAATGTCAAATTTTGCCACTAAAAACACAATAACGACATTTTTACAATAAAAATATTCGGTTCCTAGTAACTGATTTTATTCTTAAATTTTTATCACTAAAATTTTAATTTGTTGTACTTACCTATCATCCAAAAAAGAATGAATTGTAAAATTTTTTCAACCATTTTTATTTGGGATTTTTATTGATAAATCCATTTTAGAGTTGTTATAACCTATTAGGTCCACAAAAGAATATTATAACCTGATTAGTTTCATATACTTTTCTTTTTATTCCATAAAGTCCATTTTACTAATTTTATATTTTTACCTGGACTATTATGCCCTTATATATATATATATATATATACTGTGTTAATACATAACATGTTCCCTATTTTTTTGTTGATTCAGTTTTGACAGTTTCTATCTTTACGCTTTTCATCACCATTCTAATTCAGATGGATACGTTTCTATCTTGCATGCTCGTTCCGAGGCTTTGATGTGCTAGGGTCTCATTGTTGCTGTTGTAGTCTGGTTCGGTGATTTTCAAGTGATGACGACGAATTTGAAGGTGTTCGGTTGTCACATTTTCTGATGTATAATTACTTCAAATCAGTTGTTTTCGAGTTACTGGACGATTGTAGGATTGCATGATTAAAGTTAGTATCATTTTGGTTATGAATACATGTTCACTTTATGTTTTAATTCAGATGCTCTGTTTTTTCAATTATATGCATCATACGTGGTCCTGTGGAGGGGGGGTCACTCAGATTATGTGAAGAATGTGTAGTTTTCATTTTACTTTGATGTATCCATAATGAGGCTCTATGTGGGTGATATAATTCAGAGTATATGTATCAATGTGAATGTTTACATCTTGTTAATATTATGTGAAGAATGTGGATGTTCTCATTTTACTTTGATGTTTGCTTAATGAGACTTTGTGTGGGTGATACAATTCAGAGTATATGGATCAATGTGAATGTTTACATCGTGGTCCTGTGGATGGGAGGTCATCAGATTAGTGAAGAATGTGGATGTTCTATAATTCAGAGTATTTCGAACAATGTGAATGTTTACATCGTGTTAATATTATGTGAAGAATTTGGATATTCTCATTTTACTTTGATATTTGCTTAATGAGGCTCTGTGTGGGTGATATAATTCAAAGTATATGTATCAATGTAAATGTTTACATCTTGTTAATATTATGTGAAGAATGTGGATGTTCTCACTTTACTTGGATGTTTGCTTGATGAGACTCTGTGTGGGTGATATAATTCAGAGTATATGTATCTATGTGAATATTCACATCTTGGTAATGTGAATTATGGATTTAACACTTGAACTGTACACGTAGTCATCTAATTTTTGCACAATGTGAATTTTCATATCGTTTTGGATTATTGTTGATTATTGTATTGTTGTGTTTTTACAGGAGATGGATACCTTTATGATATTGGTGTGTACATATGGTTGTAGTACAACTGTAATAAATGTTGCTCGCATGTTGTGTTATTCGCGTTTGGTGGACTATTTGTGTGAAAAATGAGGTGAGTTGTCTACTGGTTGTATTTCATTGTTCTGTCGGTTACCTGGGATTAATAGGTGTGATTTGGACAATGAGAAAGAATTTCAGAACATGTTACTGCTTGCTAAATCAATGGGGGTATAACATGTAGAAGTTGTTGTTGAGTTGAAAAGTGATATTGGTCAATCAAGTAGCTCGGGATCACTCCATGTGTAGATTGAGGAAGAAATTGATAATGGATTTAGGGATCACCTAGTAAGTAGTTTGGGTGACTGTACTTACCAACTGTGGTAGGGTTCCATGAAAAGTTTACAAAATTAAAAGAGGAGGGTAAACAACGAGCACATAATTTTTTCAAGGACTTGACACCTGAGCACTGGGCAAATTCATACTTCAGGTAATAATAGTTTCCTAAAGTGTTCCATTTGTCAAGTTTAGAATGGTAGCGATGCGAATTTTTAGTTTAGAATGGTAACAATCGTCCAATTGTGTTTCATGTTCAATGTGAATGATGTGAATGTTCACATCTGCTAATGATGAATGATGTGAATGTTCACATCTATTAATTTGTCAAACAGTCATGCAATGTATTACAGATGTGAATGTTGACACCTATCATATTATGTTGTTGTTAACATTCACATATGTCTATCATTTAAGTTAACAACATAATAAGCATATAATGTTCACTGCGAATGATGTTAATGTTCACATCTGTCAATGTAAATGTTCAGACCTGTTAAATTCCGTAGTGTACAATGTTTGTGATATTGTGCAGGGGCATGCGTTATGGGGAGATGACATCCAATGTGGCAGAGTCATTTAATAACTAGATTAAAGAAGCACGTAATCTTCCTATCACTCAAATGGTGGACACAATTCGTACTCAGTTGATGTGGCAAATGTCTACACGGTGTGACCAAGCAAAGAAATGGAATGAGCTTATTTGTCCTACATTCAAAACAATGCTTATGGATTCATTCAATGACAGCAGGTCTTGGCAAGCTAGCAAAGCCAACGAGGATGCGTTTGAAGTTCATTCGATACCATCTGTTACAGTTGATGTTGCGAGGCATACATGTTCTTGCTTCAAATGAAAAATCAACGGATTCTCATGTGACCATGCTGTTATTGCTATTCAGAAGAGGCGCTACAATCTCAATGATTGTGTGGAACATTACTTTCATGTACAGACATATCGTGCAGTCTATTCGGGTGCCATATTCCCTATACCATCGGTGGAAAAGCCGCTTTTCGATCCCATGGATTTCACTATATACCCACCAACTGTGAAAAGACCACCCGGAAGGCCGAAAAAGAATAGAATCCCATCAAGGGGTGAAAAACTGAACAAATAAGGTGCAGGAGATGTGATAAGTTGGGAAGCCACAATTGGAAATCATGCAATGAGCCACTATAGGGTGTACATTTTTTATTTCAACATTGTGTTTTACATGGGATTCTTGTATTGATTGTTGAAATAAGATTGTGTTATGTTGGCACATATTGTGTTGCAATAAGATTATGTTGCGTTGACAAACATAATAATACATTAGTATTTGATTTGTATTTGATTTTTAATTTTTTAAGGTACCAATCTGACATTTTTGTTGTTGTGTTTTGAATGAATACATGATGTTAACATTCACACTTGTGTAATATAATCACATTATGTGAATAATTGCACATGGGTTGAACTTTTAAACATTTTTGTGGTATGAATATTCACATTCTTGTTACCGTTGACAGCATCAAAGTAAATGACATGAACGTTTACATCAATGTAACCATTCACATCATCAACTCAGAAGATGTGAATATTCATATATGTATTACAAAATGTAATTGTCAGTGTTTGTTGCTAGCAAAAATTAGATGTTCTTGTATATATTATGATGCATGCATGGATGTGGTGTGAATATTGACATCGTTGCTGCCATTCAAATAATCAAAAGTTACGATGTGAATATTCACATCATCAAATTATTAGCTGTGAATATTGACTTATGTGTTAAGAAATATCATATTCACACCTGTCATATTGTGTTACAATAACACTTTAAGCAATATTTACATCCATGTAGCATGGCTTTAAAACACAAGGAAGTGTATGATCATTCTGTGATGTGAAAATTCACATCATGTCATGTGTCAAAAAAAAAAATACAATCTCAATGTGCATGACCAACACAAAATAGGCCTCAAAATGCATATACATATATTGACTGAAAAATATCTGTACAAGCAGTGATATAGACTTGATTTACAATTAAGCTAGTCTGCTCCAATATGTCAAATCTATTGACACTAAATTGTCTTAAATGGGGATAACAGATTTGGGTAACTGTGATAGATGGACACCCCCCACCTATAGGTTTTCACATTGCACTGTCTTTTTGTGATTCAGAAAAAGGTGTACTAATGAGTCTCTTATTTGACTCCATTCAAAGTGATTTAGGCTGTCAACAATTTCTTCATGGTATACATGCGCCCTCTTGATGTAACAAACTGCAGGCGTGCAATCCACCCTGAAAATGCAAACTTCTTGTTAGATTTTGAAATTTAGGTGTGTAATGGTGTTGGAACATGTGTACAAATCGATTTTAAGCTTACAAATTTTATGCTTGTTGAAGACAGATGTCTACTGATATGATTGGTTGCGACGTATTTTGGGTTGATAATTTGGTCCATAATGGTGATGATGGTCCGAT